GAATTGATTAGCTCATCTCTCGAGTCTTCGGGTTTGAGTCGTTCATTCATCACGTGACAGCCCCATAAGCCCAAACCCGAAGACTTGTCAGATATGAGGTGAGGTGAGCTAATCATAGACTGAAGACCCAGGTAAACAATGAATTCATCTTTTCTGTTTCTTATAGCAGTTTTGTATTGTTTGTAGTGTGATCAACGTTTGCGTAAGTAGTAGACGTATTAGGGAAGTAACACGTAACATTTTAATTATATTTTGCAAAAATGAACAAAATGACTCGAAAAAAGATTCGTTCATTTTGCTGAACGAGACTCAAAGGTTTGAGTCGGTAAAATGATCCGAACTTTCCATCACTATTTCAGAGGAACTCTGAAAGTGCACTGCAATGCTCAAGCGAATGCTAACCAGCCACTTAAATGTAAAGCAGCAATCTCATTGGCTGCGTATGCAATATGAACCAATCAGCTTGTGACAAGTCGTTTAATGCTAAGAATATCATCAGTTTACATTAAGGACCCATCAGCCTGCGCCATCTAGAGTTTCATGACAGAACTTGGTATTAAGTGTGGCTTTAGTACAATACTTTTTCAGGCTCTTCTCATCAAAACACAAAAGAAAGACTGCTACAAGCCTCGTGTAATGAGCTAATTTGTTTCTGTGAAGGAGTGTGAAGCCTTATAGATAAGCCTGGCTACCACAGGCGCTTTTCTCTCACAATTATGAATAAGCTACACCAGGGCTGTGTGCGGCTGTGGAATGATGTGTGTTTGTGGCGAGTTCGAGGTTGTAAGGTAATCAATTACTTCCATGACTTGCTTGAAGTACAGATTCTTAGAATTCCTCCCTCATTGCAGTGCCAGGTACACCAGGATCTCTTCCTCTCATAGGTTTCCCAGAGTCGGGCTGTCAGCAGGGAATCTCAATAACAAGTACAGCAGGCACTCCACAGACACAGACAGCAGGGAGGTCTGCTTCTAGGGTAAATATAAGTTGAGGGGAGGGGTGGGTTTGGTCTTGAAGAAAAAAAAACTGTAAAGGAGGGATCATAGGGGTCGAGGTCAGAAAGAGAGAAACAAAAATTAGAGAAAAAGAGGAAGGATGGAAAGTTGTTAATAATCAATAAATCTAAGGCAAACAGAACAAAGTCATTTTATGATAGATCTATAATGCAAAGATTAACTTTAGACACAGGGCTTGATCAAAAGAGAGAGAGAGAAAATGAATAACAAAATAATCGAGTCAAAAGGTTTGAAGGGGCATTTTTGCATCAATTGTTTAATTATTTATTGATTGTGTTCTAAAAAGGGTATAAAAGATATAAAATATGATACTGGAATTTTCATATTGACACCTTATTGTTAATAGACTACATGCACTTTACAAGATATTTTCCCTTGGCATATTAGACATTTGATGAAACTATTTCCTGTAAACTATAAACAATTTGTACAAATACTGTACAACAATACACCTTCTGTTACAAAACTGTGCTGTAGGTATAGTTTTGGGACACTAGTATATGATTCTGTTGACCATGTTTATCCAGTTGATTTGTTTTACCGTACCACTCAGGAATTTTTTGACGTTTTTATTCATTCACATCCAAATGTATTGTTCTGGTACAGTGCATGTTGTAAATACAGCAAAATGTATGTTTATTTCTTGATAACCTGTTTAAAGCAGCACAGGTACAGATTCCCGAGCACCCATGGAAAAACACACGATATTCTCGGTTAACCAATCAAAAATAAATAAATAAAATAAACACACACACAATTGGAATTTTGTGTCATTGGCGGAAAACACAGGCAGAAACATATATTGGCGCCTGTGGAAAGCAGCCATGGCTTTTAAGAGACCAGGGCAACAAGTAAACTGTCACACAAAATAAGACATAAGGGCATAATGGACATGCAAATTATCTTTTAATTTTCCACATTTGTCACAGCAGATCATCATCCTATGCAAATGAATATGAATCATGTTTTAGTGTCGGCTGAGAAACATCGCACAAAATTTACAATTAGCTTACAGTGCAACAACTCTAGGAAGCACTACAGTTGAAAGAGGGTAAATAAATAGACAAACAGTAAAAACCAATGAGCAGAATCGTGAAAAAATGGCTAAATTGAAAATAAAACTATGGATTCCCATTAGACAGGTAAATGTAGCCTTGGCTTTGATGGTCTACAGATAGATTAAACTACGCAATATTTTTTTTAATACATAATAACAGAAACATAATAAACACTGGTAATAATAATTTTTGCATAGTGCTGCCAAGATGGCCAATTGGTGCATCAGGAATAACACAAGAATAGGGGCAGTTTTGCATACATTCTATGAAAAGGGATGTTTTTTTCACTCACAGATGCTTATTACAGTTTATTTGACAGTTGAGAATGGGATTAGCAAGAGTTAAAAAACAAACAAACAAACAAACAAAATTTAATAAATGTTTGTGCCAACTATAGTGTGTATTGTTTTCTGCTGCAGTATCAAACTTTTTGTTTGCTTATGCCCTAAGTAAGCAGAGTTGCAATTAAAAGTTAACAGTAACGCATTTAACATAAGAGCCTTGGTTGCAAATTAACCCTTTCTTACAGTTAAGTTTCTAAGTTATTTTATTTATACTTCCACACGTTTGCAGTAATGTACTAAAAGTATGGTAGTCTATGAAGTAAGGCATTCTGGAGAGTTTTAAAGAATTAAAATAGATAATACAGAAAAGTTAAGTGAAATAAAAAATATATATGTAACAATACATTTATAATATACAAATATTAAATAAAAAAACAAAAATCAGAAATGAGCAGTAAATGGATTTGAAAAAGACTTTGGGATGGGATGACTTTTTTTCTGTTTTCAAATACTGACATTGAGTCATAAAACAGAATTAACACAGAGTGTGCAATATAATATAATTCAATATAATAGAATATACTGTAGCTATGTATTAATGTCACACTGTCTGGCCATTTTTTTCCCCAAAATATGTACTTTTTTTAATAATCTCCATTTCTTGGCCTCAAAATAATATATTGTTGCCTAACATATTATTATGTTTCCACAAGTTCATATGTCATGGCCACAGCAATACAAAGTGAACCAAACCAGTACCTTCCTGTAGGCCTACACATTTCTAGCATCGGCCAAATTTAGTTTTGATGCTTTCAATAAACAAACTTTCAATAAACTTTAACCTAATAGAAATGAACCTGGAACATTTCTGAAATTTGAAGTCTGTTAAAGTTTCTGTGGGTTATTTGGTTAATAACAACTGATCTATAATAGAGAACATAGTAAGATGGTACACTTCCGGTGGCTTCACAGCCGAATGGCAGTTTAGAACGCAGTGAGCGATCAAGTCATATATATATATATAGATGAGTGTTAATAACACTATTGACTCCAACTGGCGATCGCCTCTCTTCACACATAAGTTGGGTAACTTTATGTTGTTTACTTCTTCAGCTCCCAGTTTTTGCACAATGGCACATTAATAAATTACATCACAATTTGGCATTTCATTTTGGGATGATTTCAAAGTATCTTCCTAAATGCTTCAAGAACACATAAATACTCTTTGACTCCCATGAGTAAAAGGGGAGTTCATATGTACTGAACTTGTGTCACTGTAAGAGTTTCCAAGGAAGCAGCTGTGGTATTCCAGACAATCTGATGTTGCAATTACATAGTGTTTTTTCCAGGGGGCGACAAGTCGTTTTTAAAAGATATGCAACCTGAGCCATTTGCCTTCAAGTGTTTTGAGATATTCCCATAGAAAACACGAGATCAAGATGCGAGTTCCCTGGAATGAGAACAATGGGGGGAAAGTTGATAAGGCAGGAATCCCCACCCTTTTAATGTAATCCTAACAGGCAGAATTACATCTCTCACCCTTTCTCTCATCCTGTCTCTTAATTCCTCTTTTTACTGTCATTCAAATGCATGTTAAACTACTATTTGCTAACTAAGGAAAGGTTCTAAATCACCATGTTATTTACTACTGCGTGAGCCTGGCGCTATAAAAGCACACACATGCCTGTCAACTGTTTTGCATTTAGAAAACACAATATGAACTTGTGTCAAAATTCATGTGCTTGTATGCTATGAAAATTTTTGCATATAAAGTATCCCCAGAGTAGAGGTCAGAGGTCCATGAATGGACTCTTTTCCACTCTCAGAAGTCTGCGTTTCCACAGCCATTACCCTGCAAAGGAAAAATGAGGGGAAATGACATCATGGAGGCACGTATAACAATGCAGAAAGAAGGAAATGGGAGCAATTAAGACATTCTGTGTTTGCGTGTATAAGAGGCAAACACCCAAGAAAATGACAAGGAGGTTTCACACAATTTTTTAAGATTTAATAATTAATTTCATGCTAACAGTGTTTTTATTGTCCATTATATTTCCCTGCATAGTGAAATGTAAATGCAAAGTTTTCCAGTTCTGCTGCTAAGTTTCGCCATGCTCCTGCTACTGCTGGAGGCAGGAAAAATGACTCCACTCACACGGCCTGAGAACTGTTTGTGTGACATTTTTTCCAGAATAAACTTAGAATGGCTACAACTGAAAAAAAAGACTCTTAGAAAATAAATACAGGCAAACATACACAAATTCTTGTGCACATCTACCCACGCAGAAAACTCCTCTTGCTTAGCAAATCTTTATTTAAAGGGAAAACACACACCTTTGTTTTATATTCCTTTCTGTATCTCTTTCACTCTCTCTCTCTTTATTCACAGATGAGCTCATCCTTCAAACATGACTCTTAATATTATATTGCTCTCTTCAATATAAACAGAACAAAACCTAGAGAGCCAGAGAAAGTTAGGGGGAGGTTCTACATGTGAAGAGAGTTGCTCATGTTCCAGCGTACACACTCACATACTCGCACTTGACACATGCAAACACATAACTCCCTCACCAATGGGCCAGGCTAGCTGCCATGGAAACCAAGCTCCACCCCCATAGGGTGTGGACAGGCTTTTTAAGCTGTGGGGAAGCCTCTACACGGCTCTTCCAATCGCACCAGAGAGGGAGGGAGAGGTAGAGAGAGAGAGAGAGAGGAAAGAGTGTGGCTATCTTCAAAAAGGGGTGGGAATGTTGAACCTGGAAGCTGAAAAGTTATTCCCAAGCCTGTAAACAAGAATCAAAGCTGTAAGAACGTGGTGGCACTAAAACCAACTAGAAGGGGAACTTAGTACAGCCAGACCAGCTCACTTAAAGGTGAAGAAAGGTAAAGAACGAGACCATTTTCCTAAGTAAAGTTATCCGTCGAGACCAAGAGCAGCTTCAGAATGGGAGAAGATGCAGTGCAAGCAGAGAGGAGCAGCATGGCCAGCACACATGAGAACCAAGAGCTGGTGGTGCCAAGCCCCAGCCCCACTCAGTCTTCACCCACACATAGCCTCTCACAGCTGGGCACCGTCGCAACCAACGCCTCTATTGGAGAACCTAGCAGCACTGGGCCTCTGGCTGGGGGCACTACAGGCACTCTCACCAGAGATGGAGCTTCACCAACAGGACAAGTGAATGCCATCACTGTCTTGACACTTCTAGATAAGCTGGTGAACATGTTGGACTCGGTGCAAGAGAACCAGCATAAGATGGAGATGAGACAGGTCGAGATAGAGGGGTCGGTGAGGGGCATCCAGAACGATATGACCAAGCTCTCCAAAAGTCACACTTCCACCTCCAACACGGTCAGCAAACTCCTGGAGAAGAGTCGTAAGGTTAGCGTCCACATGAAGGAGGTCAAGGACAAGATGGATAGGCAGGCCGTCCAGGTGAAGAAATTGGAGGCTAATCATGCTCAGCTGATCAAGAGAAACAACTTTAAAGTGCTCATCTTCCAGGTAAATGTACAGTGTGTGTAATGGGGAGCAGTTGGTGGTGGGGTGTTTGATGTGCTCATGTGAGGACACTGAATGATTGCATTGTGCGGGTGATCATCGACAGTTCAATTGTCTCCAACTCTCATAACAATAAGGGATATTAGCTGAGTCTAATGAATCTAAATGTCATTTGACTAAATTACCCCATAGTTGAAGAACAGATCACATGCTTCCCTCAGGGTAGGTACATTTCTGAAGCAGGGGAGAAGGGTGAAAGTTCAGAGTGTAAAGATGAAAGCAATGCTTGAGAAGGTGTGATGTCGCTTAAGGTCATTGTGAGGTGGGATGGAATGGAAGCAAGAACTAGGTGGTCGCCTCTTATCTCTGTCTCTAATGGCTAATGCGTTGGGGTCAAAAGCTCAGACAGACTACCCAAACTGTCGAGTGTTTCTGGGATGTCAAACCTGGTCAAATCCATGGCTTTATTTGTGGATGTTTGAGCACCTGAAAGCACAGCTCCTTTTAAGTCCTTGCAAGTTTTGTACTTGACTCAAAGTATTAACCTCTCAAATACCCAGCTAGAATTTTAGATATCCCAATATTTCAGAAAGAAAATCAGTAGGATTCCAAACTAAGAGAGAGCTAGAGAGCTCGAGAGAGACTCAATAGGGGAGGCTTGTTTTGAAGCTTAGCCAAAAGCTATTATTTAAAGCACAATAGCCTTGAATAGAAGGTGTGTCCAGAGATCAGCTACAGTGCACCGTAATGTGTATCCTGTTGTCAGAAGACCCGTGCTGAAATGTGCTATGCTACACTGGCTAGCTGCTGTTTACTGCAAGACCTACAATCAACGAATGACTCAGTGATTCCAAAGACAGAGAGCGCTGAGAGAGGCTTTCCATTTTCCCCTCTCTCTTCCCAGCTGTGTGGTTACTGCAGAAGTACATGATGTCGAGAATGAGAGAGGGCCTAGAGAAACACATTTTTAGAAAGTCAACTTTCCATGTGCGAAGAGAGTGTTTAAAATAAGATGGGATAGTAAATTTATTCGATGAACTAGTATGAAAACACCCTGTAGTTTCTACAGTTGCCGTCATAGACAGAGTGCTAGGACTTAAAGCTGGCCAAAAATGGTTGGGGTGTGTGTGTGTATGTGTGTGTGTGTGTGTGTGTGTGTGTTACTATGGCACCTACTTTGTTTATTTGGAGGGAAATCCGATTGGAAGATATGACGGTTGAGATTTCCCTCTTTGTCCAAATTATTTCAGGCTCATTACTTGCAGAAAGGGATTTGGTTTGCTGTTTTTCATTTTGTAAGCATTTGCAAAGCAGTCCAGGCATGTCTGGTCAGCATCTAAGGGAATGTGTGTTAATCCAGCCATGGGGTTCTTGTGTTCACCTGATCTGTCCTGCATCATAGTTAGGATGGGTGGGACTGTGGTGGACACAGGGGCAAAATGTTACCAGAGCTTTAACATTTCCACCAAACATGCCTGACAGACCCACACAAACATTCTTGGACAATCCTTGTTTTATTTACTTTAATGTTCCTTCATTAAACCCCCCCTTACACTCTCCCGTGGGGTTGCCTGGGTTTGTTTCTAAGGAATGATAGGATTTGACCAGTACTGCAACTATCCTCATTATTAAACAGACACAACTTCTGCGGGGGAACCAAAAAACGTTTTCAAGTCACTTGTGCGAAGTGTTTCACATTTATATACAATTGTTCACTATTAAACAAGCTTGACAAAAACTTTAAAAGACTTTCGGGTGAAGCCTTTGTGATTTTGTAAGTCAACAAATAGTCTATTTGTCTTTTAACATTCTCAGTTTTATTTCCTGATCTCTATAGCTACATTCAGGTGTTCACCACACCCTGCCTGCCTGTGTTTTTCACTTTTATCTTCGCCTCCTGTTGTTGGAATCGGGGGGCTTGGCTCCCCCCTTAGGCGGACTTACAGGCGGGAGAGAGAATGTTGTTCTTGCATAAGCAGAAACTCTGGCTCAAACACTCACATTCCAGAGGTGGAGAGAGTCTCTCCCATATTCAAAATGATATAAATAGGCCAGTAACCAAAATCAATTAGAACTCCATGAAACATGGATCAAGACACTGGTGGTGACCATAAAAGAGAAAAGGAAGAAGGAGCTTGTAAAGTTTGTTAGCTTATGAGGAGACTTCCTGGATTTAGACAAACATCATTCCATTTGCAATTCTTTTGCATGATGCAACGTTCAATGAACATATTTAACTAATTGTCCCTGTGTTTCTCAAAACTTCACATATGGATTGTGTTATAGCTGCACAATATTTCCAAATTCTCATTACTTTCAGCACACAATGCTCCCATTTTTTTCATGCTGAAAGCCAAATCTAGAGTAGGAAAGCACAAGATGGAATATTTTTACAACTAGCCCTTCGCTATCACCTAATAAGGCTATCTGTGCCTCTCCAGAAAGAGTGATAGCGCTATATGCTAAATACTAAATTATTGAAGCAGATGAAGGCAATTGATATTCTCAGTGTCTGACAGAATTGTAAGTTAACACTGGCTGGGCCTTCCTGAGCTGGACATATACTGTAATAGTCTACAAAAAACAGACATCCTTTTGCACTAGGGTTTCAAAAACTGACAGAACTCTGGCCCTTTAGTCCTATCTAAATACACACACACACACACACACTGAAGAGACAAAAGCTGTTATTGTGTGTGTCCCATGACAGGGAACAATGCCAGCACAGAGGGAAAACTATACACACTCATAATGCCATGGGAACTCATGGGGACATACATGCTGGGACAAACCAGTCCAGAAACAGACTACACATCAACTACAAAGGAAACTGCAACAAAACCATGCCCTTTCACACTGATCTTTCATCAACCTCTTCTTTCAGAATAAAGGTTAAGTAATAAATAAACCCATTTAGGCTGATGTAAGACCTCTGATTCACATCAGGGTCCTGATTACCCCGATAAAGTTTATTCTGCAATAATGACTCACTGACTGCACATTATTCCACTTATTACAGAGACTACTTTGGGGGGAAAAATACTAATGGACAAGAAATACTGAAATTTTTACATTATATGAGGGGGGAAATACAGAATGCAAAATACTGTGACTGACCAATCAGAATCAAGTATTCCAGAGAGCCCTGTAATATAATGTGTGTGTGTGTATATATATATATATATATATATATATATATACTGTATATATATAAAATGTAATGTTTAAACTTGTTAAGTATATAATTTGGAGCTAAAACCAAAACTACCATTAAAACTAAAACTACCACATATTCAGTGATGCGACATGTTTTACAACACGTCATATTATAATATAACGTGTTTGAGGAAGTTCTGGGATTAAGTTGAAGCTCATGACAGAATCAGAATAGCCATAATTGCAGTAAAACTGTAGTTTTAAATCGCACTATACAGGCATAGGATTGAATCGCATTTCTCAAACTCTGACAAAAGAAAATTTCTCAGTGAATAATTGTAATAATGGCAAGTAGCATGCTTGAAGAGATTTGCTCATGTCATGTAAACATCTTAATCCATGTAATTCCTTACTCTGATCGCTGCCAATTATGCATGTAAACGTGGTCATTGTTGCTTGAAGTTCTTCCAGGGCTGATTTTTTAGAGAGGGAAAGCCTCTTCCACTCAGCTCTCCCACCCCATCCTGCTCCAACTATTTTGTTCCGCCTCACATCTTACACACACGAAAACACATGCAGACCCATACACGTAACAGTAGTCTACATTTCTTTGCACGCACAAACAGTGTTGAACTGATTAAGCTATACAGTTAACAAGTACAAATTACTCATAATGTATAGTATATAATAGTATATATATATATATATATATATATATAAAGTGAACATATTTTAAATATATATAATTATTAGATTAGACCAAGATGTCTAGGAAAACAACTTTGTGATGATTCATTATTTCCTTAAGCATTTTTTGACCATTAAAAGTTTATCCAAAAATGAAAATTTGCTGAAATTGTACTTGTTCACCAACGGATCCTCTGCAGTGAATGGGTGCCGTCAGAAAGAGAGTTCAAACAGCTGATAAAAACATCACAATAATCCACAAGTAATCCACATGACTGCCGTCTATCAATTAACATAGTGAATTGCCCATCCTCTGTTGTCCTCTTACATAAAAAAATAAAATAAAAAAATGACTGTTTATGCTTATAAATAGTGCTCAATCTGTGCATATTTTTCTCCTGATTCAGATTAAATTACTTCTTCACTGGAGAAAGCATGGAATGAACTGTTTGGTTCCCCACTGAGAAAATGACAGGAACTTGTGTCTCTGGAGGCTGTGAGGAGGAATTCTTTAACCTGTTTGTATAGCTGATCTATTGCATTTAATAATTTGAGGGGTGTATGTTACTTTGTGTTTTTGCCATCAGCATAAGCTGTTCATATTAAGCCATTTAAGATACACAGGTTCCAGGGACAAGTCTGAACCTGGTTAACTAAGTTAAGTCAAGAGAAACTGTTCACTTTAAAGAGTACAATTACGCAAGCTGCTGTCACGTATAAATATGTCAACACTCCACTCTCCTTCTTAGAGACTTTCCTACATGCTGGGGATTTGTGAGTTACTGACATTGCTGTATATATACAGTTACGACTAAAAAGTGATTTAATGACTGCTGATAGACACTCTTCTTGCCACACAGGCTAGTCCAGTGCCTCAGCACCTTTTCCCTCTTCCTTTTCAAATTGGCAATTTGAGCTACGGATTGCCAACTACTTGAGGACAGTACTTGAAAACATGCAAATACAAACAAATGTAAACAAATAGCAATATCCGAGGCATCCAAACAACACAGCAACTCTCGACACAGCACTGACTCCTCTAAAGCGTTGCCAAATAAATACATAAATACTACAAATATATATATATAATAAATCTTTAGGGTGAATATCTTGAACCTCACAATATTCTTATTTCACCACAATGTCAAATATAATATTAA